ATCCATATGTCATAATGTTAACGATAAATAAAGTTTATCTCAAAAATTTCCATAACAAAAAATCTAAAAAAAAAAAAAAAAAACAACAACATAACCCATTCCAAACATTACGCATTTTCATCTATTACGTCGACTATGTACTTTATATTTGTCCCATTCAGTTAAAGTCTCGACGATCGCTATTCTCATATTGGGACACCTTGTGCTTTTGTAATAATTTTATTTTGGAAGTACTGTTTAGATGTAGCACACGACTACCCCACAATCGATACTGTGACTCTTTTGTTGGGGAGCATCGGTCATTAAAACCACTTCTTCGTTGTACGAGAGATCCAAATTGTGATATCTCCCCGTCTTATCCACGACAGCTTTCTGTTTAAAGATTACAAATTTCAGGTCAAACCACATAACTATCCCAAAACCATATAATCATATCAAAACCATATACACTGCTTATAACTCCCCAGACAGCAAAACATTTACTTCATATGAATAAAAACTATATAAACTGTTTTTGGCTCCCTAAACCACAAATGACAAAACCCTCATTGCCTCAGGATCAACCACATAACTTATACTGTTTATGATTTTCACCTATTAAAAGGATAAAAACCACATTACAAAATTTGTCAAAACCGCATAATATGTGTTACAAATATCACATAATATATATTTTAGAATTCACACTCACAAGAACAATTGCGCATATAAATTACAACCAATACCGCATTTAACCAAAATCACAAAATATTTTACTGCCTATACCCTTATGTTGTCGAAACCACTTAAGTCAATACCACTGAACATGGTTAGCATATGTTCACGATTCAAAACAGCATAAACAAGACTGCATATCTTTGAGTGGTTTCAACAAAACCCAAAAAAACACATTAAAACTTAACAAGTGAACATAAATCAAACCCCACAATCAACTAAACGTGTTTTTTACACTCAAACAACAATTTACAAAAAGAAACAAATTTACCTAAAAAAATACACATTTACAATTTTTTTTGGGTTTCACAAAAAAATAATCAAAAAACACATATGTAGCACGTGAACATAAATGAGAACCACTTAAGTCAATACTACTGAACATGGTTAGGATATGTTCACAACTCAAAACCGCATAAACAAGATAGTATATATTTTGGTGGTTTCAACAAAACCCAAAAAAACCACACTAAAACTTAACACGTGAATAGAAATCAAACCACACAGACAACTAACCGTGTTTTTTACATTCAAACAACAATTTACAAAAAGAAACAAATTTACCTAGGCATGCACCCCACTAAAATTCACATACCACGATGTAAAAACCATACCATGATGTAAAATGTAAAACAACACGCAAAACCGCGCTTTCTTATATACGGTTTTATTTATGGGCACATACATCACAAAACACCCAAAAAAAAATTAACAATGTCGACTTTTTTGGAACCCAAAAAGCCGTTTCAAAATTAAGCATGCAATTGATAACTATAATCGGGCAAACACCCATCATAACAAACAACAATTATCGACGTCTTGTTCACCATTTACGGATTTAAAAACTCACCAGCATCTAATTGCATAATTTCGGGACCGATTTTGGATTTTCTCTTTCATGTAAAAATTTACCCATTCTGGTAAGCACATGCACAAAAAATTAAGAACACCCATTTCGATTAATTGTAGTTTTCCACTAATTGAAGGGATTCAACAACTGATGGCACTGATTACTTACTTTTTGCTGCTGATTTTTTTACCATCTTGCTGTTGTACAAAATACGAAGAAATTTTGCTTCCTCTATCGGTTTTCGCTTCTGATTTCAGTTTTCATCAAGAACAGTTTCATTTATTTGGAGGGGAATTCTGAAAACGAGGGACAATGGACTATGCCAGAGTAAATTTCTATCGTGATTTGGAGAGAAATATTTCGGAGGATTTTACGGTAACGCGATTTTGTTAGGGATTTGGCATTGATTTACCGTATTTTTAATTTTAATAATTATACTAGTGGGGGCATATATAGTTTTTCAGGCCCATTAAATTTATGTCAAATACCATTTATAAACAAATAATTTATCATACTGCCCATGTTTTAATAATATATTATACGTGTATGACCAACGTAGATCTGACTTGTGCTTGAATTTTAGGAATTTCTTTAAATTTTCTTCAACTAATTTTAATATTTAATATTTGAAATTATATTGTTATCAAGAAATTGTAGTACTAACCAGTTTAGATATATTCTGATTCTTTTTTAATTGCATTATATCTTAGATAATTTTGTATCTAGGTTGTACTATTTGATTTGAACACACACATCAAAACTGTGACTGCTTGCTCGTGTCAATTCAAAATTTATTTTTTTGAATTATTTAAATGTAAATATAATCCCCGCATGGGTGCAGCTCAACTGGTTCTGGAGGTGGTAAATTGGTGCAATGTCCTAGGATCGAATCCTGGCAGCCGCAGTGTGGGAATTTCAACTCCAATGAGGGTTGGTTCCTTGTGGCCACCAGGTCCGGATCCGCTACCTAAACGGGACGTATCAGAAGAAAAGGAAGAAAGAGAAGAATCCCGCCGAGATTATAATTAATAAATTAGTAAATTAATTAGGGCGTTTAGATTCTGTGTCTAAACTTATATGAGATACTCCTTTTAAATTGTGACATATGTCCAGCAAAAAAAACATATTTTTTCCTCATTTATGTATTGTCGCAAATACCCTTTTTACAATTATTATTTAAAAAAATCAGCAATTATAAATTATTAATGAAATGTCAATTTTACCCTCTCTATTTTAATGCAATTTTAAATATATATTTATTGCTGAATTAAAATTTATAAAGTCAATTATAACATTATTCGTAAAAATCATTAAACCACCCATACAAAATTGCATCAACCAGAATTCGAACTTGTCACCATCTAAAAACATACAAGAATACTTACCATTAAGACAAAACACATAATTGACAATAAACTAACAATACGGATATATATCACAAAGCTACAATTTATAATGGTTATAAAACTTATATAAATAATGTTAAATAAATTAAATCTCATATAATTATTATTATATATTAAAAAATTCCATACTAACAAATCTTTATATAATATAATTTAAAAATCTAAGGAAATGTTGATCAACTCGTGTAATTTAAAAAATGAATTTCGAAAGAATTTGAAGTTTGAATTGAATTGTAAATTGTAAGATTTAATTAAATCGTAAGATTTGAATCAATTAAACTCATGCGTTTTCAATTCAAAAACAATATTCAAAGATTTGATCGATTAAGCTCAACTCATTTCAATTCATAGACAATATTCAAATATTTGAATCGGTTAAACTCAATAATTTACAATAGCGTATTAATCAAACTATGTATAGTTAAAGTTTAGTATCTTTTTTTATTGAATTTTATCATAAAAAATAATAAAATTTAATTCGTAAAAATCGTAAGATTTAATCGGTTCATGGTTAGATTAAATCTTTCGATTTACGATCTGATTCTTACGATTTTACGAATTAAATTATTATGTTTTTTGTTAAAATTGAATTAAAAGGATAGTAGACTTTAATTATAAATAGTTAACTCGATTAATACGTTCTTGTCGGTGGTTGAACTTAATCGATTCAAATTTTTGAATAATATTTACAAATTAAAATGATTTGCGCTTAGTTGATTCAAATCATACGCTTTAATTAATCTTATGATTTGATTCTTACGTGATTTAGGAATTATTTTTTTATGATAAAATTGAATTATAAATGTATTACACTTTAATTAATAATAGTTAATTTGATTAAGACGTTCTTGTCAATAGTTGAGCGCGCTAATGAATCGATTCAAATATTTGAATAATGTTTACGAATTGAAGAACTTGAGCTTAATTGGTTCAAATATTACGCTTTGATAAAATATTACTATTTACGATTAGGTTCTTACATGTGTTAGGAATTAAATTTATTATTTTTTATAACAAAATTGAATTAAAAAGATATTGGACATTACTTATAAATAGTTAAATCAATTATGTAACACGTTATGTCAATAGTTAAGAAACCGATTCAAATATTTGAATAATGTTTACTAATTGAAAGGATTTGTACTTAAACGATTCAAATTTTACTATTGATTAAATTAAATATTAAAAGAAAATTCACAATATAGTATTTGTAGTATATAATTTTATTTTAAAGTAAGAAAACTACTAATTGGAATGAGTTATAATTTTTTCTTCTTCTAAATAAACATATTATTTTAATTTTTACTTGGATTTGTCACAGTATCGATTTAATAACATAAGTGAGTTTGAATTAAATTATACATTTTTTTATATTTAATTGAGCATTCTTTACATTTTTAAATGGTGGGCTTTATTAATAATTCTAATATTATATAATTAATGATAGATGTTTGGCGTAATGAACTGCAATTCTTTATATTTTTTAAACTTTATTATATTAAATTTGTTAATAATTTATTTAATATCATTTAACAATAATGAATGTTGCAATTAATATTATAATTAACAGTATTTAAACAATTATAGTTAAATATATCATAATAAGTTAATGTGCTTGGATGGTTAGGAGTGATAAATGTATTAAGATGTCACAAGTTCTATCCCTAATGAATGCATTTATTGCGATTATTTATCAAATAAAACTTGGTTACAATGAATTTAAATTAATTATTTAATTAAAATATAGTAGGGTAAATTAGACAATTCAATGTAAAATAATTAATTATATATTAATTTAATAAAAAAATAATCGAAGGATAATTTAGTAAAATACTTTATTTTTTAAAAAAATTTTCTATGGTGCAGATTTAATTACAAAATTAATGATTGAGTTTTGATCTATTAAGGTACGTGTACGTATATATTAACACAAGGAATCTACAATATTAGGTTATTAATTTTCCGCCGTCAGTATCTAAACGTAAGAGAGAAAAAGGAAAAAAAAAAGAAAAAAAGAGCTTATTAATTCCATGGGTTCTGATGATGAAGATCTCTACTACACAATCCTTTCAGAAGAGAAAATCATACAAATCCAAAATAATGACATCTCCAACGTATGCAGCTGTCTCTCCGTTTCGAGAGGCTCGGCGTGCACCCTCTTGCGCCTCAACAATTGGAACTACAACTCCGCTCTCGACCGGTGGGTTTCTGACGAGGAAAAAGTCCGCAAGTCGATCGGGCTATTGCCGGATAAAAAATCACGAAAGAACAACAACCTCTGCAAAATTTGCTTCGACGAAGTCGAGATTAGTAGCATGTTGTCGGCTGGCCCGTGTGGGCACCTTTTTTGTACTCTTTGCTGGAAGAACTACATTGCTGTATCGATGGACGACGGGCTCGAGTGCTTGTCTTTGGTATGCCCGAAGCCGAAATGCAAAGCCTATGTGGGTCCCGAATTGGTGGACACGTTGGCTTCGAAAGAAGACAAAGAAAAGTACTATCGGTACCTTGTCCGATCCTACGTGGAGGGGCACAGGGACATAAAGTGGTGCCCTGGCCCTGCATGCGAACGTGCGGTCCAGATTGAGCCAGGCGAGCGGGAGAACTACGACGTGGCGTGCGATTGTTCTCACAGGTTCTGCTGGAACTGCACCAGGGAAACTCACCACCCGGTCGACTGCAAGACGGTGGAGAAGTGGATCGAGCTGAATAGTTCCGAAGCGGAGAACACGACGTGGATACTGGCTTACACGAAGCCGTGTCCGAAGTGCAAAAGGAACATCGAGAAAAACCAGGGCTGCAATCACATGACGTGTCGACAGCCGTGCGGGCACCACTTTTGCTGGCTGTGCCTCGGCCCATTGGATAAATCGCACACTAATTGCAACATGTATAGAGCCGACGAGGTCGGTCAGAAGAGAGTAAGGGGTGCGCGCGAGCATTTGGATAGGTATTCGCACTACTACGAAAGATGGGCTTTGAATCACAAATCGGGTGAAAAGGCTTTGTCCGATCTCAATCGGGTCCGAGGAGAGCTTAGTGGAAAGAAATTGGCGGGCGTCGAGCTCCGATTCGTGATCGAGGCGTTGGAGCGGATAGTGGAGTGCAGGCGCGAGCTGAAATGGAGCTACGTGTACGGGTACTACTTGTGCTTGACGGAACAAGCGGCCAAGATTTCGTTTTTCGAGTACTTGCAAGGGCAGGCGGAGGAAAATCTCGAGAGGCTCCACCTTTGCGCCGAGACGGATATGAATAAATACTTGGGGGACGATTGCTGCCCTTCGGGTGATGACTTCGTCGCTTTTAAGGACAATCTTGTGACGCTGACGGATGTGACGAGGAACTACTTTGGGGAGTTGGTTAGAGCGTTGGAGAACAATCTTTCCGAAATTAACGACCCGAGGAAAGAAACGACGAGAGGCCGTGTTAAGGTGTATAGTAAGACCAATACTAAGACGTATTTTAATTATCGAGATAGATTAAATTGGATGTGATTACACTACTCGATAAATTAATAACCTCACTTAAATATTAGTTTCTTCTGTTCCCGACTCGGTAAAAACTTACCAAATTATTAGTTCGATAATTTAATATTTTGCTAAATTAATAGAATTTTGCTCGTCCCGACTCTATTAATTTATAGAGGTTTAAGTTTAACTTTATTTAACAATAATGTGATATGTTATTGTTTCATGGTTGATACTTGTGGTTATAAAATGAAGGATTTTACGTACTAATTTATCTATACATATCGTATTTAAACATAATATCGTTTTCTTTTTTAAGATATAGATAGATGCAGAGATGTGTGTGTGTGCGTGTGTGCATTTTTTGTATGCAGTACATTTATGTTTTTTAGTTCTGTCGATCGATGCATGGGTGTGTGCTCTTGTTTATGTAGTGTTTGTTATTTTGGGAGTTTGTTCCGAAGTGTATTGGAAATAATTTTATAAGTAGTCGAGTCAAGAACTCGATTCTTTTTCATTAAGACAAATTTACGAAACAAGTTTACTTCGTACAAGGTGCTCTTTATTTTCAGGATTTGTGTGTTAACATACACAAACTTGGTAATAGAGGGTCTGAAAATGAATGAAACCTTTTGACGAGGACCTTGCACCAATTTATGTTCACAAGGCCCTTCTTGCGTTCAAGTATTTCACTTTGTGCATTAATTTAAATTGAAAAACCGAACCAAAAAAAGTAAAAAATCGAGCCGTTTCGAACCGATCTAAATAGCAAATTAAACAGTTGGTACGATATTTTATTTTTGAAACTCCGAATTCTTCAGTTCATGTACAACTATCTCCCTAAGAACCCGTCATCCGTACATACTCCTCGATTTACATCCCGAGTCGGAACTATGATGTAGGGGACCCCTTAGGCCGTTATCCCCCGCACACACACACACACACACACACACACACACACACACACACACACACACACACACACACACACACACACACACACACACACACCCCCCACCCCGCCCCCACTACAACATCTTTCGGTCCGGAGGAAAATTTCGATTAATAATGCCGATTGAAATATTAATGCACTTTGTAGAAGTGTATCTACATATAATGTGTGATATGAGGGGTGTAGAATATATCCAATCACCAATGTACTCAATCAAACCTACTTCAAAACATATGCGAAAAGTAAAAACATAAAGGTTATATATAAAGTGTCAATGCTAATATATAAATAAAAAAAGGGCCAATTACAAAGAAAAAAAAGTTGTTTGGGTAATTACAGTCACCTCTTCTTTTAAATATATTTTTCAATAAAATTTATGTAACTATGTTATTTACCTTTGGTTCGGTAAACGACATGAAATATTGACGTACCAAAATTTCGATACAATTTTACCGGATGAACAACCCTAAATTTACCTCTGAATGGGTTTTTTTTCGTAAGACAATAGATAGTTGAGGGAAGGGTAACTGTAATTAACCATACATGACGGGTGTTTTTCTAATTGAGCTACCTCGCGTAGGCCAGCTAGTTGCGCAAAAAACCGATTTTTT